CGAGGTCGAGAAAGTGCCACACCTGCCACGCCCTGCGCCATGGCCCGCATAGACGCCGCGCTCGGAGACCACCCCCTGCGCACCCCCTACGAAGTCGAGAAAGTGCCACACCTGCCACGCCCTGCGCCATGGCCCGCGTAGACGCCGCGCTCGGAGACCACCCCCTGCGCACCCCCTACGAGATCGAGAAAGTACCACACCTGCCACGCACTGCGCCATGGCCCGCATAGACGCCGCTCTCGGAGACCACCCCCTGCGCACCCCCTACGAGATCGAGAAAGTGCCACACCTGCCACGCCCTGCGCCATGGCCCGCATAGACGCCGCGCTGGGAGACCACCCCGTGCGCACCCCCTACGGGGTGAGGAAAGTGCCACTCCAGGCCGCTCCCGGGGAATCCAGCAGGCACCGACGCCGCAACTCCCCGGACCTCTCCTGGGGTGCGCTCTGGCCAGAATGATCCAGCGGTGGCGACGCGGGCCTCCGAGGAGGCCCACGGAGGGGGAAACGGGCGAAGGGCGGCGGTATGGGTGCATTTCCCCCCTCCGAGCCCCCGATCGTTGGGCTCCGGCCCAGACTCCCTGGCCGAGCCCCACGGGACTGCCAGAGTCACCGAGCGCGTTCCACGACTCGCAAAGTGCCTACTCGCAAACGTGCAAAAACGCACATGTCTGCTTCGATGTAATTTGTCGCAGATCCCCCGCGGCGGATCCGGGCCATCTGCGAGTAGTTGCTCTGCGGGTAGTGGAACGCGCTGGGCTACAGAGGGCGCGTCGGGTTGCGGCGCGGGGCTCGGGGGGGGGGGGGAAAGGCCACCTTGGCCCAGGCCCCGCCTCCCTCCATGGCCCGCTCCCCGAGGTTCGCGACGAGGGTCGGGCTGGACGAAAGGGGGGGATTGGGAAAGGGGGGGTGCGAAATCTGCTGCATGCAGCTGGCTTCGTCCCCACCGAGGGGCCCACTCCACCATACATAGCCGCTTCCGGCGCCGGGAGGCGCCGGGAACATCAGCTACGTGAGCTGATTCTCACCCCCCCCTTTGCTATCCCCCCCTTTCGCCCGGCCCGAGAGGGGGCCGTGCCCCCGTGCGCAGGCGGTCTCCCCTGAGCTCCGGGCGCCTCGGTCTTTCCGAGCCGGGCCCTTGCGCTTCTCTTCTTCGGGCCCCGGGGCCTTCGCAGGTCGATCCGGCTCGGAGACTGACGCAGGATGCCGGGGTTGTGTCGGGCGTGTCCCCCTACAGGATGATTTTCGACGAAAAGTTAAAACTACCCCACAATTTGCCGAAAAAGGGCAAGACATATTCAAAACATAGTCCCCATCTTATGTTTGGACTATTTTCCTACCTAGGCTCTGCCTAGAAGGGTTCTTACTACATATGCTTAAAGGGCCGGGCAGTGTTGCCCGCCCCAGGCGGTTCCCCCGGCATCCGCCCCGCGGTTCCCCCAGTGACGTTCCCTTAGCTTAGCGTTGCTTATATCCTCTTAGCTTAGCCTATTTAATGTTAGCTTAGCTTAACTTAGCCTAGCTTCGCTTCGCTTCGCTTAGCCTAGCCTGGCTTAGCTTAGCTCAGCTTAGCTTAGCGCAGCGCAGCATTTGCATAGCATAGCATATCATAGCATAACATATCATATCATAGTATACCATAACATAGCATAGTATAGCGCAGCATAGCATAGCGCATCAGAGCATATCATAGCATAGCATAGCGCAACATAGCATAGACTATCGCAGCATATAATAGCATAGCGTAGCATATAGGCAGGTATATATGTAGATGTAGGTACCAAATTTTATCAGTATTATTACGAGTACTACTACTACTACTGCTGCTACTACTACTACTACTACTACTACTACTACTATTACTATTACTATTACTATTACTACTACTACTACTATTACTACTACTACTACTACTACTACTACTACTACTACTACTACTACTACTACTACTACTACTTTTACTACTACTACTACTACTACTACGACTACTACTACGACTACTACTACTACTACTACTACTACTACTACTACTACTACTACTACTACTACTACTACTACCGCTACTGCTACAACGGCGACGATGGGGAGAAGGAGGAGGACGGCGTTTACCGTTACTACTAATATTGCTCTCCTCGGGGCTCCAACTCATAGGTAGGGTCGCTCTGGGATGATTTATTCCCTACCTAGGCTCTGCCTAAAAAGGTTCTTACGCTCTTAGCTTACAGGGGCCGGGCAGTGCAACTCGCCCCAGGCGGTTCCCCCGGCATCCGCCCCGCGGTTCCCCCAGTATCCGCCCCGCGGTTGCCCCAGTTGCGCCTCCTGGGTTCACCCAGCTTAGCTAAGCTAAGCTAAGCTTAGCTTAGCTTAGCTTATCTCATCTTAGCTCAGCTTAGCTTAGCTTTGTTTTGTTTTGCCCAGCCTAGCCTAGCTTAGCTTAGCTTAGCTTATCTTAGTTTATCTCATCTTAGCTTAGCTTGGCTTGGCTTAGCTTAGCTTAGCCTAGCCTAGCTCAGCTTAGCTTAGCTTGGCTGAGCTTAGCATAGCTTACCTTAGCTTAGCTTAGCTTAGCGCAGCGCAGCGCAGCATAGCGCAGCCCAGCATTAGCACCGCATAGCATAGCATAGCCAAGCATAGCATAGCATAGCATAGCATAGCTCAGCATAACATAGCATAGCACAGCACATCATATCATAGCATAGCATAGCATTGCTTATCATAGCACAGCGCAGCATCTAATCATAGCACAGCATATCATAGCATAGCATATCATACATCGCGCAGCATAACATCGCATAGCACAGCATAGCATAGCGCAGCATTGCATGTCATATCATAGCCTAGCATAGCATAGCATAGAAAGTGAATGTCAGAGTATATGTAGATGTAGGTGTAGGTGTAGATATGGATGTAGGTGTAGATGTAGATGTAGATGTAGGTGTAGATGTATGTGTAGATGTAGATGTATATGTGAGTCTGGCTGTTGATGTCGATGTAGATGTAGATGCAGGTGTAGATGTAAAAGTAGCTGTCGGTGTAGATGTAGATGTTGCTTTCCTAAATGCTCCAACTCCTAGTCAGGGTTCGCACTGGGATAATTATTATGCTTGTGGTGTTTTGTATGTTTCGTCGAACATCCCCCTGTAGGGGCACAGGCCCGACTTAAGGCTGGGGTCCAAGGCTCTGGGCGCAATCTTGTACGATGTCGCGAGTTCCCCGCCACGTCGGATCTCCTGGTCGAGGCAGCGCAGCCGAAGCAGAGTGCTCGCTGTTTGATGCACGCCGATGAGGCACAGGGGTGCCCCGAGTCGAGACACCGAGTGCTCCACTTGGCTGCAGGAGCCGCCTCCCTCGACGGGGCCCGCTCCCGGAGCCTCGCGACGAGGGGGCTCTTCCGGTGCGCGGCCCCAGAGTTTGGAGTTGGCTGGTCGAGGCCTCCTAGATTCGGGGGCGGCAAAGAGGGGGGTGATGACTAGGGGGGGGGGATATCAGGGCGTGGGCCATGATATTTCCCCAGATCTCATGGCGCCCCTTCTTATTTCATCACGTCCCTGGTCCCCCCGCTGGGCCGCGCACATGCCGCCGGTCATGATTTGCACCCCCCCTCTTGGACACCCCCCTCTTGGCCGCTCCCGATAGATGGAGCCCGAGTACATGGGGTTGGGGGATCGCGCCGCCTCGCGGATGCATCGGCGCTGCGGCTCGATGTGGCGCCCGATGTTCTCCACGCCGACGTCGCCGACGAACGCCGACGTTGCAGGTCGGGTGCATCGCCGCTGCATCGGCGATGCCTCGCCGATGAGTTTCCGGTGCATCGGCGATGCGGCGCGATCCTCCGATCCCATCTCTTCGGGCCCCATCTATAGAAGGCCCGTAGCTCAGAGCCCCGAATCATCAGGGGTATCTCGGGTCAGGGCTAACTCGGGGTCGTTTTTCGGGATCCCGAACCCGACTTACCCCGGACCCGACTTACCCCGGATAATTCGGGCGCCCAGAGCCCCAAATCATCAGAGGTATATCTCGGGTCAGGGCTAACCCGGGTTGGTTTCTTCGGGAATCCAAACCCGAATCACCCCAGACCCGAGTTACCCCAGATAGTTCGGGCGTCCAGAGCCCCAAATCATCAGGGGTAGCTCGGGTCAGGGCTAACCCGGGTCGGTTTTTCGGGAATCCAAGCCCGAATCACCCCGGACCCGAGTTACCCCGGATAGTTCGGGCGCCCAAGTAGCTGGGGTCTGAGGTGGCCCAGCACTGCTCCCAGCCGAGGTGGCCTGTGCCGGCCTCTTTGGGCATCCCCGGGGCTTCTCGTCGCCACGGCTGGGCGCAGCTGGAATAATGAATGCGGTTGGACCCGAGGAGGTGTTCTCGACTTATTTCAGGAGGGGAAAACAACACACAGACACAATTAATCGTTGATTCCTAAGAAAAGATGGAAAAATGCGGGAAGTGGGGGGGAAGACGAGAACTTAGAAAATATGGGAAAAGATGGGGAATACTTTTATTTGTGTGTATTTGTTTGTGTGTCCCTGGGGCCCCGTTATTATTTGGGCACACCTGGCCTCATCTCTCCCTCTTGGCCGATTTTTCGGGGCCACTCCAGCTCAGACCCCCCGCCGCCCAAGCCAGAGGTCCTGACCCGATCCCCGGGGGGTGGCTTTCGCCCTGGATCCTTTTTCGGTTGTCCCCTGAGCTGCATGTGTAGAGTATGTGTCCATCTGCAGCGTCAGCGCCAGCGGCGCGACCCGTCGATGTTTTTCCTTCTGTTGTCGGGTCCGACAGCGTGCCCTGTAGAGCGTCAGCGAGGGGAAACCTTCCGGTGCTTGCCGCCTGCCAACAATCAGAAGGGGAAAAACACACAGACACAAGTAATCGTCGATTCACCTGAAAATATTGGAAAATATGGTAAGTGGGGGGAAGACAAAAACCCAGAATATATGTGAAAAGATGGGGAATATTCTTATTTGTGTGTACTTGTTTGTGTCTCCCTGGGCCCCTTCCAATGAGGATCGACGAGGTGGCGGCCGCCGTCGAGTCGCTGCTCGCCAGATCCCGCGCCCTCGGCGCGGCCGGCGCCGGGGCCGGGGCCGAGGCGCCAGCTCGGGCGAGCGGGCCAGAGGGGGCGAACGAGGCCAGGGGCTTCTCCGCGCTGGTGGATCCAGGCTTAAGTCGGGCCTGTCCCCCTACAGGGCGATTTTCGACGTGATACCCCCAACATAGTCAAATAATAGTCCAACATAGTCTGGAGACTATGTTTTGAGTATTGTTTGGTCTTCTTGGTGTATTTCTGGAGTATTTTTAATGCTTCGTCGAAAATCCCTCTGTATGGGGGACACGCCCGACATACATCTACGCCTCCCAAATGGGGTCGGAGTATCAAAGAGGGGGGTGATGACTAGGGGTGGGGGGATATCAGGGCGTGGGTCATGATTTTCCCTCAGATTTCATGGCGCCTCTTCTTATTTCATCACGTCCCTGGTCCCCCCGCTGGGCCGCGCACATGCCGCCGGTCATGATGTGCACCCCCCCTCTCGGACACCCCCTCTTGGCCGCTCCCGAAGATCGGGTCGGAGAATCGCGCCGCATCGCCGATGCATCAGCGATGCAGCTCGATGTGGAGGCCGAGTTTCTCCACGCCGCCGTCGCCGATGCATCGCCGCTGCATCGCCGCTACTCCAGCAATGCGGTGCAATGCTCCGACTCTTGAGTGTTCTGACCCCATCTAGGAGGCCTATAGGTGGAGGAGGTGTGTTCCGAGGTGGTCGCGCATGATCGGCACCAGGGCGGCGGGCTGGGTCTCGCGGAGCTCGGCCAGGGCCGCGACCATCTTCGAAGAAGAACAGACGGCATGAAAATGACGAAAAGGTCCGCGCGGATTCCATGGATCGGTGCTGATCTCCTGGCGCTCCTTGC